AATGTTGGCCAACCAAGAGGGCCAACTCAAGGAGCCTAAGATGGGAGGCTACAAGCCTCACCCCAAGAGTGTGGTGGATTCGCTCTCGGTGGCATCACGTTCAAAGTCGTGATCGATCCCCAAACGTTAAGCTAATGACGATAAATTAGCGCTTGTTGGGAGGCAACCCAATGGAGGTTTGTTTTCTTTTCCTTAGTTTTCGTTTTAGTGTCTTGTGAAGAGTTCGAGTGGTGAAGTGGTGTCCCCGTGTCGAGTGTTTAGGTTTTGCGGTTTATGGTTGTGTTGTGATTGATTAGGAGGCACGGAGGAATAGGTTGAGTCAAAATTTTACCAGAAGTGCCATGTTTTCACTGATCTTCACAGACGGATTGCTGAGTTCACGGTCTTATAAGACCGTGAACATGCAAACGCGTCCGTGAACTGGACATTTATGCATGAGCACCACCTGTCGACCACTTCATGTTCACGGCGCATTTGAGAGTTCACGCTCGTTAAGACCGTGAACTGGGCAACGCGTTCGTGAACTCCGAGTCGTGCATATAAAAGGGGCGTGAACGTCAACTTTTCACTTCACGAACAAATCTCGCCGAAAAATTTCCAATCTTCGTCGGAAAACGCGACACTCCATCGGTTTTTCGATTTTCCCCCCATTTCCGGCAAGAAAAACCCAAAACCAACGTCATACCCAGTCTCCACCCCTCAAGACCGGCCTGTGCTGAGATTTTGGGGAGATTTGGAGGACTTTTTTCCGGCCAAGTCACCGGCGGCGAGTCTCTGACGAGCTTTCGACGAAGCTCTGGCGACCCCTCTCCGGTCAGTTTTCCGACCGTTTTTCACCGTCCTCGCCCGCACCTCACTTCCTCCTACGTCCTACTTGTGTCTCCAGGTTTGTTTTTCGACTTTACCTTTGTGATTTGTGGAGAATTGGATTATGTAGTGAAGTGAGGTTGAATTTTTGTGCTTTGCATGATTGAATCTAGATTTAGGGCGAGGAATTAGGTGAATTAGGTCGATTGAATGATGGATTGATTTTTGCATGAGCTTAGTGAGCCTTGGTGGGCGTTTTTGAACCGAACTGTGTTTATTTTTTGCCCACCAAGTGCTATGTCATGAATGCAAGTGGAGTTTATTCTGGTTTGATGGATGGTAGCTACCGTGGCAAGGGTTGTGATTCAACTTTTTGTGTACCTGAACCGTGAATTGCCTACAACCATACCACCGGTTTGAGCTTAAATGTTCGATAACCATGGTGGCAAAACAAGTGTGGGGGGAATTTCTTTTCCTCCCAATGAGCATTCTTTAAAATCTTATCGATTTAGATAGTACCGATTTATGGCGTTGTGGGGTGTGAATACACTGCCCCACACGTACCCGTACTCCCGAACCCAAATTTCTAAAATTTTGCAGACCAAATCCCTATTTTGATACTAAGGTCGAGATCGGGCCAAAAGGTGTTTGATCCACCATCAAGTAAGGTCGATGGCGACTCCACTGGGGACTTTTGAGAGTCGAGCTACATTAACTAAGTCGATAAGTTTTCTTACATCTGTTTGTGTGTTGGGTGTTTATTACATTATTTCTGCTCTTATTTATTTTCGTATTTAATTATTGCATTCATATATCAAAGTTCTATTCCCGAGCTCTCCCTTTAGAAAATGAAAGGAGTAGCGTGACTTCTACAATAGTAGGGGAATAACGTGAAACCTTTCTAACCAAGTTGAACTTAAATCCGAGGTTGATTTGAGGTATCCGACTAAGCTTGAAAGAGAAATAGTAGGATACAACTTGGGTATTTCCATAGAACTCTTTACCAACCATTTAGTAAGCTTAGGAACCGCCTAAACCTTGTCGTCAGACCTTACATAAATCTTATGTTGATTAGAGACTTGGTTTTTGTGCATTTAGATATATTTTTGCCTACGATGTGATAATTCGTGCATTATCAGTTACTCATAAATAATGTGATTTTATTTTTCACATAAAAGTTTTTCAAAATGCATGACATTAGCATATCTCCTATTCAACAGAAACTATAAAAGATAAAGCACATGCATTTACGCATTCACATCATTTTACATAATAAGCATCATACATGCAAAACAATTTAACAACAACAAATTTGCCAGGGTTACTTAAAATTGCTCGTCTACGAGGAAAAAGTCAACCTTTTAAGGACTTCACGAGATCAAAAGCCAAGGTCTTCATGGAAGCATTTCAGAAAGAGTTAAATGACATCAAAGGGAAGATAACAGGGTTTGATGAGAAACTGATGGGTTTTGATGAGAAGTTGACGGGTTTCGATGAGATGAAAGGTCAACTAAGCACAATTTTGAGCATACTGTCAAAAAAAGGAAAGAGGGTTGTAACCAACGAGGAAGAAGCGTATTCGACGAAGAAGATCACCATGAACCTGAAGGAGATGCCTCAGATAGCAAATTTATTCTCATACTATGTTTAGTCTCAGATGTCATAATTCCTCATAAATTTCAAATGCCAGAATTTGAAAGATATAATGGCACTACTTGCCCAAGAAGCCATCTAGTCATGTTTTGTAATAAAATGGCCAACTATATTCGTGATGAAAGGTTAATGATACATTGCTTCCAGAACAGCTTGAGTAGCTCCGCATTAAGATGGTATATGCAATTGGAGAAAACAAAAGTGAGAAGGTGGCAAGATCTAGCTGATGCATTCACGAGGCATTACAAGCATAATCAGGATTTGGCGCCAGATCGGGAGGACCTACGAAATATGGAAAAGAATGAAAAGGAATCTGTCAGAGAGTATGCTCATAGGTGGCGAGAGAAAGCTGCAGACGTTCATCCCCCGTTGTGTGAAAAAGAAATGGTATCAATCTTCTTCGGAACATTAAGGAATCTGTATTACAACAACATGGTAGGAATTACCACAACCAACTTTGCGGATTTGCTAGTAATTGGAGAGCGAATAGAAAAAGGGTTGAAGCAAGGACGGATGGAAAGTTCGGAAGCCTCCAAGAACCATACCAAACTCGAAGGGGAGATGGAGAGGTTCATTCTGCTCAAGAAGATTTATCAAGAAGTGGAAGGTGGAATACCAACCTCTAGGAATTCAAGCTCACCCCTACGTTACCAGTAGTGTAGCGTTTACTCAATGCTCAAATTTTCTTACTCAACCGGCAATCCAAAATTCGTCACCAGTGGCACCACCACCAAATAACCAAGACCAAAACAATTCTGGGAGATACAAAAAACCCATCCAAATTCACCCTATTACTATTACATACACCGAACTTTTCGCACAACTACTCTCTAATTCCATCTGTGCCTATGCAACCTCCCTTCCCAAACTGGTACAAGTCAGACCAACATTGTACTTACCACTTAGGAGTCGCAGGACACTCAACTGAAAATTGTATATCATTCAAGTTTAAGGTGCAACAGATGATCAATGCTGGTGGTTGAAATTTGAAGAGGAGTCAAAGCGTCCAAACATAAACAATAATCCATTGCCGACTCATGGGAAGTAGTAGACGTACTACAAAGCAATGCTCGATTCAATGACGATGTTGATCCTATTACGTAAATAAACTTATCGAGCTATTTCCTTAACAACATATGTATCACCTTGGCTTTCATCATTATAAATAATAAGATCTTCCACCTTTCGACCTCTTTGGAATGTTCTGTGACTGTTATCAATCTTAATCTAGAAGTTTGTATCAATGGGTTTTCATTGCTCAAATGACGAATGTTATTCCCAATTTCTTTAAATTTGATGGAAACCATCCAAACCTTGGTTTACTTCCAAGTTAAGCCATGAGATTTCCATGCTTAAGCAAATATGAGGACCCCACTGGTGTCGAGCGATTATAAACACCCCACTGTGTTGAGAGTGCGCACATTGTGCTAGAATTAAGAGTATAAACACCCCATTGGGTGTACACAAATTGTGTGAGTGAATAGCCAAAAGGTGTAACGAGCATATGACATCAGGCTACTTGTAGAATCTCGTCACCACGCTAGCCAACTTTAGCTAGCAAATTGAGATCCAAGTACAAGTGAAGCCAACCGAGAAAAAAATTCAAATAGTAAAAAAAAAATATACGACATCAGAAGTCTTGCTTCTTCGAGGAAAGCAGTAACCAATCAACCTAGCCAGCATGAAAGGACACTCACCTTGTTAATCACAAAAAAAACTCTCAACCTTTTGATGCTCGTGCTCATAAACACCAATGTCAGAACAAGGAAGAAGCATATTTTGTGGCATAACCAAGTTAGAGGCCCATCCATTGACATTCGAAACCATTACCATTTACAGCAAGCCAAGTGTTTGCCGGCCAATATCAATAGAAAACCTTAAGCAAGATCTTCAACTATATAAGGAAGCTTTATCTTCTTAGCCTTTGGGCCAAACAAGGATTCAAACTATAAGAGTTCCCATAACCAAGTTCACATTCACAAAGACCTCATTTATTCAACACCTGGCCCCACCTCCTAAAATCTCAAGACAAGGGGGCACAGTAAGACGCATTCCCCAGGATGTCCAAAAGCCACCACTATTTTTGAGAAAACAAGATTTCCTCGAGAAAAACCATGATAATTTCCATTAGGATCACTCTGATCCATCATTTAACCTCATACTTTGGGGGCAAGCCAAGATCCCTTTACAAGAAACTTCACATGATCAAAATCAGACTTCGTAAGAATCTTCTCATTTGAGAAAACCATTACCTCAAACATATTTGACCATCAACATAAAAGAAGGCTTCTCATAGTGACCAGAATCTTAATGGTAGTTGAAATGTCATATGCTCAAAACACCCCTAGGAATGAGTGAGAGTAAATTCGAGCATGACATCGAAAGTGAGAGTAGAGTGATTGCTTACGAGTGTTCTCATGGCTTGACTTGCTCCTTGATTCGGGCTCAAATGTACACATTTTACCCCTCGTTTCTTATTCGTTTAGCTTAGTATTTCATAATTTCTCGACATATTTCACGCTAGTTGTGCTTGTTTTCAGGTCCTAGCACGTGTGGAAGGGTCGAGGACGAGTTTTGGAATATTTGGAGGTCAAAAAGCGCAAAAACTGAAGAAAAGTCCGAAGTCTCGTAGTAGTGAATTGAAGGTGTCCAAGACACAGCCGCAGTTCACGGGCGGACGAGGCAGTTCACGGTCTCCTAAGACCGTGAACTTCGACCATAAACCGTGAACACCGAGGCGTCCAGCGAGGTTCCTGAAGTTACTGACGACAAGGCAGTTCACGGTCTCTAAGACCATGAACTGTGGCAATTGACCCTGAACCCAGGGCAGTGAAGCGGTGCGTTTTGGACAATGCTGAGTTCACAAACGGGTTTAGGTGTTCACGACCGTGAATTGGCCAACGCGTCCGTGAATTGATCACTTTTGGGCAAATATGAAGACAACAGCGGGGAGAGAGAAAGGATAGATGGTTTTTAGAGAAGAAACACTTTCTTTCTCGAGGTTTTCAACCTAAAAACCAAAGGGGAGTTCTATAGTGAGAGAGAGAGAGAGTGCTAGAGTTATCTTGTAGCAGCATTGGAGGCTTGGGTGGAAGATTCAAGCCTACAAGAAGAAGAAAAAGATCTTGAGCTCAAATTTGTAATCCCTCTCTCTCTAGAAACTAACTCTTTTCTCTTGGGAGGTGTAGATACCTAACTAATACTTTGTAATTACTTGTTTAGATTGAATGATTAAGTGTGGGTTTGCATCAATTTGAGTATTAGAGGTGTTTTATGGTAATTGTGCATGCTCGTGCTTAGCAATCTAAGGGTTGTGCATGTTTTGTGCTTACCATTCTTAGGTTTGTGCATTTTGGTGCTTAGCAACCTAAGGATTGTGCATAATTGTGCTTAGCACCCTTAGGTTTGTGCATGTTGGTACTAGAAGTCTAATTAGCCACCTTAGCCTAGCTTAGAGAGGAAAATCCCCTTTTCGAGGGAGACTCAAACGAGTTGGTTTTCCTTCTGCTTTCTAAGCCACCTAAACTAGGTTAAGTTAGGGCAACCCTCAATGTTGAGTTAAGCAAATCGGTTAATCGTGATGAAGTCGTCCGACCATAGAGTTGAATGAGGGGTTTACTTTTCCTTGCTAGTTTAGTTTGTAGTTCCATTAGTTATAAACCCAAAAGTTGCTTGCTAGATAACAACCTAAGCGATTGAAGTAGGGGTACATGGATCGGCCCGCGTTGACAATTTAAATACTTGCTCTATACTGCACCCGACTAGAGTTTAAAAACTTGAGCTCTAGTCGGGATTAATTTGTGGTGTAGTTTCGTGCGAGTCAGTCCTTTTCCACTAAAAATATGAAGGAAAAAAAACAAATTTTAGCAACATGACAATAACCACACAGAAAAATTTGTATCCAATTCTTATACGTTTCCCTCGATTGGAAATTTCAACACCAGGTTCACATGATACTTTTCCATCCACATTTGTCATACATTTTTTCACTCATCTTAAGTTAAGATTGATAAAGTCACTCTTTGTTCCTAGAATAGAAAGTTAACGGCAGATCTTTGGGGGCAAGAATGTTGTAACCTCTAAGGAGAAGCATTATGAAATGCTCGCAAGCCAAAGTACACAACCTTTCAACTCAACAGTTTAGAAATCTCAAACATCTTGAGAGTACCTTTGACTGCGTTCAATAAACCAATTACCTCCCATGACAAAAGGTGCATGTTACACTACATCAGCGAAATTCGAGGAACCCTGCCTTGGACAACGAGAAGCCTGAAGGAGGTCTGGTTAAGAAATTTCATTATTGAGCACAACTGAAGAGCATCCCTACAAGAGACAATGATACAAGTTCTTGTGTGTGATCAATTTAAATGAGCCCAGGGCAAAAAAAAAAAACATATTCTCAAACCAATTGCTAATGCATCACATCATTTTATTTTCTTACAACATTCATGACTTTATCATTCATTAGCATGACTCATCACACAATCATTTTGATACTTATTAGACAACATCATCATGGAAACAATCATACTCATTAATAATAATTTCCAAACGCATTTTGATACTCATCAAGATTTCAAGTACAAAAATTATGTTTCCGACTTCATAGAAGTCTGACATTAGCTTTTCACATCCAATTATATTTAGTCTTGATTCACTTTAAACATGCACTCAACAAAACCATAGACACATTAAATTGGTGCTGGCGAGTGTCCAAAAGTATGACACTAAATGCTAATAAGCATAAAACAATTCATCAGAAAATTCAACAATTAGCGTTGACGTGCGCTTCGTTTAAGTCAAAAAGATTTAACAATTAGCACTGACGTGCGCTTCGTTTACGTCATCATCAGGAAAAAACCAACAATTAGCGCTGACGTGCGCTTCGTTTACGTCCTCATCAGAAAATTCAACAATTAGCGCTGACGTGCGCTTCGTTTACATCATCATTAGGAAAAATCCAATAATTAGTGCTGACGTGCACTTAGTTTACGTCATCATTAGAAAATTCAACATTAACGCTGACGTGCGCTCGTTTGCGTTATCATAAGAAGAATTCAACAATTAGTGCTGACGTGCGCTTCGTTTACGTCATCATCAGGAAAAACCCAACAATTGGCACTGACGTGCACCTCGTTTACGTCATCATCAGAAAAATTTAACAATTAGCACTGACCTGCGCTTCATTTACGTCTTCAAGGAAAATGTAACAATTGGCAATGACGAACGCCGAAAAAATACGTCACCAACCAAATATAATCATCCACTAAACTGATAAAATGTGGTGTCTATAAAGGAACTTTGTATACATCTTTACATAAAGAGGTATACAAGGGGGCAACTGTAGACACCCATTTTGTCCCGGTCAATTACACAACTAAAAAATTCTAAACTTAAACCGTAAAATGTCGTAAGATAGTTAGATCGGCCATTGCAGGTCTAAAATATCTACAGTTGTACAAATTGTTTAAATTTGATTGTAGTGGATCAAACAGGAGACTTTCGTTGATCAAAAGTTTTTGTTGGAAAACCAAATTTCTGCATGTAGCACAACACATAATAATAGAGAAGAAGCATATTTTATTAAAATTGCTACTAATTGACAATCACAATCCGAAATACAAATCAAAATTACTATATGAAATTACAATCAATACAAACTTCTTTCATCTTCCTTTGAAGCCAAGAATGAACCTGTCAAACAAAATGGAGACCAATCAGTTCTGGCCCATATCAAAGACAAGCCCAGAAGGTCATAGCCCACAGTACAAGTCAAAAGCAAACTAACCCAAGGTTAATGATTGGTCAAGCCCAGATGCTAGGCCCAACGCCAGCAACCCGAGTCGGCCCAACCGACCAAATGGCCAGTCGAACCAAAATTGGTCTGGCCGAACCCAGCCACCACCGCCTCAGCTTTTCTATAAAAGGAGGCTCATTTCTCATCATTGGTGGAGAACTTCTCAGGAGGGAAAAGACCGGGGAAACACTTCACTTCTTCCTTTCTCAGTTTTAGTTTCTTCCTCTTCTTAGTCAATCGAGAGTTTATTTCTTTTCTTAGTCCGTTTAGAGAAGAGAGAAAAAGCTGGGATAATAGTAAGAAAAATACAAAACACTTTTTCCTCTTTATTTTCTTTCAAAGAAGCGAAAGGCATCTAGGTCAACAGAAGCCCAACAAAGTTTGTATTGAGCAAAACCCAGGTTCATATTCCATTTCTAATGATGATTTATTGCCATTTTATTCTCTTTTCTACTACTCTCTCTTCTTCTTTCTCTACTACTCTTATAATTTTGCCAAGCCAACTCTCTATTTATCATTATTACTACAATCATCAATATATATATCATAATCATCTAATTAATACAAGGCTTTTATAAAAAAAATCAATTAACTCTAATAACTATACACTGACCAAACTGATTTATATCTCACCTATTTTATTTTATCAGCTCTTTAGTTTTAGTTTTTTTTTCGGTCCCATTACTTATTTTTAGCACCATCAATATATTAACCAACAACAACCGCCAACTACTTGAGTAAAATCTCCTAGATATATTTACTTTGCTAATTAACATCTACTCATGAATCATGATCTTTCCATTTATTTACTACCTGTCTTTTGCTATTCCTTAGTGTATTTATGTCATGTATTCAATTACTTTATTTTCTAGCACATAGGTAAAAATACCATCATCATTCGATTGGTATAAAAAATGGTATTCAACAAATAATCCAAGACCCTCGAATCCGCCAAGTTCACAAACAAACCACAGATTTCCAGTTTTAGATCCACGTAAACACCCTTTCCAGAATCAAAAGCACACATACACAACCATTTTTCAAAAACCAAGATCCATAAATCCATTTCAAATCCCACAAAATAAACCGCAATCACCGGATTCAGCGAACAGCACCATTATCCCCTAAATCTCAAAGTCATAAATTCATATCCAAAACCCCCACAAAAGGAAGACCCTAATCCCAACTCGGGACGAAAATCACAAAATATCCTAATCTAATTAGATCCACCAGAGGTTAATCGAAACCAAAATCAGAGGAGTAGGGAGAAATCTCACCCAGATCTGGCCTCTTTTCAAACCTACAAAAATAAGAAAAGATAGGGTCAGTACATGGCTAAACCAAAGAGAGTAGAATCGAACGAGAAATAACCCTCCAGGCTTACAGTCGTTTGTCTCTCGATCATGTCACCGTTGGCTGCTCCTTCTTTCTTCTTCCCTTGTCCGCCATGAAACCCAAAAATCAAAAGAAAACCCCATAAAGCTAGTAAAATTCCTCAAAACCAGAACCAAAATAAAAAGAACAGGGTCAAAACCTCCAAAAGAACCCCATAAAACACTAAAAAAATCCAGAAAACCAACATGCATGTCAAAGGGGCTTACCCGATTTGGTATTTCTTCGTTATCATCACCATTTGAGAGAATTCGGTTTGAGAGAATTCGGGAACCCGATATTCATAATTTCGGTTTGGTCGAAACCGAACCTACCGAATGCCCACCCTCCTGCCACCTTCCTCTTCTAGCGTGCGTCGAACCTAGGCCACTGGCCTCATAGGTATGTAGCCAACATTTTTAGCCATTAGGATAATTCTATCAAATTCGTATTCTTAATGCACTTCGGTGCTATTTATTAATGTGGAGGTATGTAGCGAACAATTGT